GTTTTCTCCATCTATGAGGACTGAGAATTTTGCTGGGTATAGTAGCCTGGCCTGACATCTGTGTTCTCTTAGGGTCTGCATGATATCTGTCTAGGTCCTTCTGGCTTTCATAGTCTCTGTTGAGAAGTCAGGTGTGATTCTAATGGGTTTGCCATTATATGTTACTTGGCCTTTTTCCCTTGCAGCTTTTAGTATCTTTTCTTTGTTCTGTATACTTACTGTTTTGATTATTATGTGGCGGGAGGATTTTCTTTTCTGGTCTAATTTATTGGGTATTCTGTAGGCTTCTTGAATTCTTATTGCTCTCTCCTTTAAGTTGGGGAAATTTTCTTCAATGATTTTGTTGAAAATATTTTCTGGTCCTTGGAGCAGGGAATCTTCTTTTTCCTGTATACCTATTATTCCTAGGTTTTGTCTTTTTATGTTGTCTTGAATTTCTTGGACAGTCTGTGTCAGGAATTTTTTAGATTTAACATTTTCTTTGACAGATACATCTATTTCTTCCATTGTATCTTCCACACCTGTGATTCTTTCTTCCATCTTTTGTAGTCTATTGGTTATGCTAACCTCTGTGGTTCCTGTTTTCTTTCCTAAGTTCTTTCTTTCCACAATTTCCTCCATTTGTGTTTTCTTTAATTTTTCCAATTCTATCTTCAGGTCTTGAGCCATTTTGTTGATTTCCTTCACTTGTCTGACTGTATTTTCCTGTTTTTCCATCAATTCCTTCATCTGTTTGTTTGAACAAGCCTCTTTTTCTTTTATTTCATTCAGTGATTTAAGCATTTCCTCTCTATATGCCACTAACTGTTTGGCTGCAACTTCCTCTATTTCTTTACAGATGGCCATAAACTGTTTTTATCTTCCTCTATTTCTTTACACATTTTATTTGTTTCCTCTGCTATCTTCCTCGTGATCATAGATGCTAGGTCCTCTTCTTGCATTTCAATTATGCTGGAGTGTCTAGGGCTACCTGTCCCTGGATAACTGGGTTCTGGAGATGCCATATTGCTCTGGCTTTTGTTGTTTGAACTTTTACGCTGGCCTCTACCCATCTTAGGTTTTTGAAGTTGGTTTCTGGTTTTTCCTGGAATCCTGTGGTGGAGAGAATCCCTTTGGCAGGAAGATGGTTTTTTCTGAAGGAAGCCTTCTCAGCTTTTTGGGTATAGTCACTGGATGGCTGGTGTTTTTCAGGAGTTGCCACTGCTTACCTTAGGCGTAGAGACCTGAATGGTAACTGTGGTCCTTATTAGTTGAGAGGGCTCTCCTTTTACCAGGAGAAGTCCTGAAGACAGCTGCCCAGTTTCTTGCTGTGATATTAGTGATCTGCTGCTGTAACCTGTGTGTCCCGTAGTTTGGTCAGTTTTGTTAAGGATAAGTGGTTGCCCCATGGAGCAGTATCTGGGGGTTGATCTCGGGGATCCCGGGCTTTTGAAGGTCTGAGGTTGGGGCCCTGTGCCCCAGTACCCAAGCAGTAATCTGTAGCTGGTGAGTACTGCTCTCCTGGTAACAGCAGGCTATCTGGTGCACAGCAGGTCCCTGGGTTGGGTCAGTCTGTGGGATGTTTTCCTGGGTGGCCTAGGTCGGTCCCCTTTGCTTAGTTACCTGTGAGGATTTCTCCAGACAGTGACACCAAATCTCTAGTGTCCTGGGGCACACAGTTCTGTCTGTGAGGAATAGTTGGTACAAAGCAGGTCTCTGCGTGCCTGCCTGCTAGTCTGCAGGAGCTGGGTGCCCAACTACTCTTTGTGCTTCCGGCCTGGGGCCAGTTCAGTGATGGGGCTTGTACCTGCCGGTCTGTGAGAGACTTTCCCCAGGTAAAGCCTGGGTAACCCAAGTCAGTACTGTTTCCTTCCTTCCCTGTGGGGCCCTCTCCCAACAGGAACTACCTGTGTCTGTTGTACTATGGTGCGCAGCTCAGTCTGTGCTAGAGAGCGGCCACTCCGTGCTGGTGGCAGGAGCTCAGTTGTGATGGCAGCGGGTACCCTCAGTCTGCAAGACTTTTTCCAGAGAAAGACTGGGTGACCCGTGGCCAATCCTGCTGCTTTCTTTCCCTGTGGGTTTTTCTCGCGACTGGGACTCCCCGTCTCTGGTGTTTTTGTGCCCACCGATCAGCCTGGGAAGGTGATCAGGACACGCAGGCGTCTGGCTCTGGTCTGGGGACCTAGTGCCTGAGCGACCCGGGATCTCTTCCGGGTTCTGGCTGGGTGACCTGAGTGTGGACCCACCTGATTCCCACGCCGTGGGGGTTTCCTCTCACCTGGGAAACACGATTGCTGTTGTTTTAGGGCCCAAAGTTCAGTCTCTTGGTCACTGCACGGAAAATGTTGTCCTGCTTCTTAGATGAAGTGTTTTCCTGGTGCCGCCATCTTGGCCTCCCCCTGCTTATTTCCTCATCCTTTTCTTAATGCATGGTTGTTCTGATAGCACTCTGACCCTCTTTCAAGTGTAAACATGACAGAAATATACAATGTATTACAGTACACGTAGACACTGTAACGCTCCATAACATGTATAGTCACGCAATTCTCTTTACAAACATGTTTTCATTCTAAACCAGAAACAGGAGAGGTGTCTTTAACTGTAAGTGATAAAAACAGAAGTTTTAGGTGAGTATTTGCTTGACTATAATCATCTGTGACTCTCATCAATACTGCATATGCCCTAATGTGTACAATGTGAATACTCGCTAGGGGAGGAGCCTAGTAACTACCACGATTCTTATGAACAAGAGCATTGGAAACTACAATAGGATCCTTGTCACCGCCAGCCTTAGAAACTTGGAAGAGCAAGTAAAAAATAAATAAATAAATGACAGTGTTCTAAGCAGAAAAAGCAAAACGGGGCAGTGAAAATTTCCCAGTAACTCAGTATAATGTCAAGGACTAAGTATGGGGTTGACGAGAGATCAGCAATATGGGCTGGAGAAATGGATCACCACCGGTTAAGAACATTGGCTACTCTTTCAGAAGACCCAGCACCCACATGGCATCTCACAGCTGTAACTCCAGATCCAGGAGAACCAATGTGCCCTCCCACCCTCCTCAAGCACCAGGCCATGATGAACAGGTATACATGCTGGCAAAAGACTTACCCACATAAAAGTTTTTATAATATTAAAATATTATAATAGTTACTAACTAATAATAGAATCATCTCCCTGTGCTGGCCAAGAAAATGAGGTCCCTTATATAAATAGGTAGGAGAATGTCAGTCTAGAAAAAAATAAATAAATATTCTTCAAAGCATTTACAGGGCATAGTGTGAGTATTCTCAAGGAGGCTGAGGCACCGGACAATTTTTAAACATGAGAATGAAGAGAACAGGAGCCAAGGATTTAGCTCAGTGGTAGAGAACTGGTGTTATCAAAAAACTTGGGATGCTGTGCAGTAGGTACCAAAAGTTACAGGGGAAACTGAGGTCTCCTCTCAGCTCTCCACCTAAGAACAAAGGTAGATTCTATTTTACTGTCCATACCAAAGTGGTTCTCTTCCATAACAGGTTTCTTTAGAGCTCTGATCAAGACGGCTGGGGCATAACCTTAACATCATTTAGAGGATGAACTAAAATCATTTTCACATGAAAATCCAGAAATCCACTCCCAGAAGCGATGAGTATTTGGAGCTTTAGTCACACCCTCAGGATGGTCTCCATGTAAGGGTACCCTTTCAGGAGGTGACAATACATCAGGGCTCCCTTCTGGTACTCTTGGGAAAACCAAAAACATTGCTGGTTGGGCAGTTTTCCAGGTCCTTGCCCTAAGCTGCATGTCCCATTCCTAACTCCCTTCTTATCCTAAGGCCAGATCCCCAGCACCAGAAAGGACAAGACAAAGGAAGTTAATCAGATATTTTAAAGCAGTACTTCTTGGATGGTTTGTTAATAACAGACCCCGTATTTGCTGAATAGGGAGAAGTCCTTGCATATGTGTTTGAGGCAGTGGCGGCCTCTGTGCAAGCTTGGGATTCAGGCAATGGCTTTGGTGATAGTTTCTTGCAAGCAACAACAGGTAAGAATCATTACTTCCTAAATGTATGAAGTGTTGACAAAGCCAGTCCATTTTTTTTTTAAATTTTATTTTTCTTATTAGTTACATTTTGTTAACTCTGTATGCCAGCTGTATCCCGCTCCCTCATTCCCTCCCCAATCCCGCCCTCCCTCCCTCATCTCCTCCCTGCCCCTTTCCAAGTCCACTGATAGGGGAGGACCTCCTCCCCTTTCATATGACTCTGTTTTGTCAGGTATCTTCAGGACTAAGCCAGTCCATTTTGACTCTAACAACATCCAAGTTTCTCTTGCAAGATTAAAAGAGGTTTGTTTTTTGTTTGTTTGTTTATCTTGTTTAAAAACAAACAAACAAAGATCACACAAAAGCCATGTCTGAGAAGGATGGTTTGGAATGGGAGGGATTACGACATTGTTTGAAAGATTAGAGGAGGCAAAAGAAATATGCGAGTCACTAGATCAAGAATTTAAGTACACGGGAACATGGATTATTTTGTCTTACATGTCAAGAAGGAAAGTCTCTTCAGCACTTGTGGTAGTAGCCAGTATTTAACTAGTATGCATTACATCACTCCCCAAATGCTTTACTCACAGCTCCCTAGTGAAACAATACAATTAACAACTGTGGGACTGAGTAGTTTACAAAGTTGCCCCAGGCCAAGGCTGTGACCTACACCTCCACAGAACATAAATCCCGGTTACCCTGCGCAGGCCCCGCCCTGGGTGGCTGCCTGGAGCATCCGGCTTTGTCCAATGCAAAGAGAGTAGGCAGACAGATTTGTTCATTTCAACATTTGGCTCAATCAAATCCCAGCCTGCTCTCCGCAGCGTTAGCTGCAAGAAGCTGTTAGAAACCTTCGCTTCCACAAGGGTGCGCCTTTGTTCCCCTTGCCTGTTGGAAAAAGTCCGAACATCCGGGTCTTCCCATCAGCACGCTGACGCGATTGGACCCTCAGCGGCCGCCGTAGCGCCTCGACCACTGTAAACAGGAAGTGGGAGATTTGTAGCCTTGGGTTGAAGAAGGCGGAGGATTTCAGACAGCCTCCCTCAGCTCTTGCCGTTGCGGCCGCTCTCCTTCCTTCTCCACGTCTTCCTTCCGGCCCACAGGCGCTCTACCAGAGGCTTCCACTTCAGAGTGCCGAACCATGGCCGAATATTCCTATGTGAAATCCACCAAACTCGTGCTCAAGGGCACAAAGGCTAAGAGGTGAGGCGGAGCTCGGGCGCGAGTCTCGGTTCTGTGCATCATCCCTGGGGGCCGGGGCCGCGCTAGCCTCCACGGCCACCCCACTAGCGGCTTCTTTCATTTACGTTGTTGTTGAGTCAGGATCTCACTATGTAGCCCTGGTGGGGACCTGGAACTCCGAGAGAGAAGTCCACCTGGCTCAGCCTCCCACATGCCCGGGTTGGGCGGGGGAGGGGGGGAATAAAAGCGTGTGTCACTGCACATAGCTTATTTCATTTTGATTTGAGAGGCAGCCGTACTGTGGTGCTGTGTATTAGTTTTAATTTATGGCTGAATGGTTTTCTTTCTGTATGTTGACTGCATGTTCTGTTCTTTCTTCATTTGATAAGTGTTTTGAGATAATACTGCTATCAATATGCTGGGTTTTGTGGACATACTTTTTTCATTTCCCTTGGAGATATATATATACACACACAATATATATGTAATATATTGTAAATACATATTTTATATATTCACCTAAGTATGTATAGTAACTCGGTGTTTAGCTTTCTGAAAAATGTTTTCCATTGAGGCTCCTCAGGGGTTCTGTTGCTGTGTTAAGACACCCTGACAAAATTCATGGGCTGGGGAGAGGGTTTGTCTCAGCTTACATCTTGAGTCCATAACGAGGGCAGGAACTCAAAGCAAGAATCTAACCAATACAGAGGCCATGGAGAACTGTTGCTTGCTGGCTGGCTGGCTGGCTTTCTCACACAACTCTAGGCCACCCACTCACTGCCCACTAAGAGGTAGGCCCACCTATATCAATCATTAATCAAGAAAATGATCCCACAGGTTTACCTACAGGCCAAAATCTGGTGGGTGCATTTATTCAGTTGAGGGTCCCTCTTTGCAAATGACTCTAGCTTGTGTTAAGTTGACCAAAACTTAGCACTTTCCATTCTTCAGCAATAGAAGAAGACACATACTCACTCATAATCCTCATAATAACCTTGGAATTGGGCCCATTATTATCCTTGTAAGTGGGGAAATTGATTGACAGAGAAATTAGGGATGTTGGGGGTTGTTTTGTTTTGTTTTTCTTTAAGTTGCTTAAAGAAAAGCTTAAGTTGCTTCTTTAAGCAGTGTCTATAGATTGTGCTTTTAATGGAGCAATGTAAACACAGGGGCAAAAGCAGCTTGTCAGAATTTTAAATAAAATATCTGTAAATTATTAAAGATAATTTTTCTGTAAGTCAGGATATAGCTGGTATGACTCCTGAGTTTTCATCCTGTAAGTTTTAACACATATATCAGTATGTCCAAATTCATGTGTATATCTTTTTTTTTTTTTTCAGTAAAAAGAAAAAGAACAAAGATAAGAAGAGAAAACGAGAAGAAGATGAGGAAGCCCAACTTGATATTGTGGGTGAGCCACTTCAGTTCCTTATTTTATGAAAAGTTAGCTTCTGTTAGTGTCCGCTTGAAGTCTTTTCCTGCTCATCAGAGCCTTCTCTTCACAAGCTCAGTAGATGTCACTACTGTTCGTCCTTATCATCAGAACTGTGGAGTGGAACAGAAACTCCTTAGGAGACAGAGCCTGACCCATAATTCTAAAGGCCTGTCATACCTACTTGGTGCTGTTAACCAAGTAGGTTTTATACACTATGAAAAGCATAAAGCTTTGTTGTAGGTGTGCAGGAAAGCCTTAGTACATGGAGAACTTGGTATTAGTCTCAGACAAGCACTGAGGAAAAGGAGACACTGCATTGCTGGGAAGTACCTCTGTTGAACTCATACAGACATTGCCACTGGAAAGTATGCAAGGATAGAGTCTACAGTCACAGACACTATTCTCTTACCATCTTGTATTTTGCATGTGGTAAGAGTGATCTTGACTATGATGTTAATCACAAGAATCCACCCATATAAACAAACAGGTTCATGCAAAACTGCTAAGGTATGAATATGGTTTAGGATTATGTCAATGTCAAGTGCTAAAGATTGTACAGTGATAAAAGGTGGTACAGTTAGGAGGAAGTCAATAAAGAATAAGCCAGGTTTCTCTGTAGTGATTTTTATGATTGTCAGATACAGGCTTTTAAAAGTAAGTATAATGAAAAAAACAACAGAAAACCTTTGGGTGACCCTAAAATAAAAAAGTTAAATCTTGAATTTTTTTTTTTTTTTTTTTTTTTTTTTTGTAGGAATCTGGTGGACTGTGTCCAACTTTGGGGAGATTTCAGGAACCATTGCCATTGAAATGGATAAAGGAGCCTATATCCATGCACTGGACAATGGTCTGTTTACACTGGGAGCGCCACATCGAGAAGGTTTGTGTGGGGGATGAATAGTGACACAGTGATGGCAGGGCCTGTCAGTAAAATGTTACAAAGTTTGTGTAAAAGTCTATGAGACTGTTTCTCCAACCAAGGACCATATAAGGATATAACCTAGAACCCCTGCTTGGATGTAGCACATGGTAGCTCAGTAACCAAGTGGGTTTCACTAGTAAGGGGAACAGGAACTATTTCTGACATGAACTCAACGACTGGCTCCTTTACCTCCCCCCCCTCAAGGGAGGAACAGTCTTGCTAGGCCACAGAGGAGGACATGGCAGCCAGTCCTGAAGATACCTGATAAGCTAGGGTCAGATGGAAGGGGAGGAGGACATCCCCTAGCAGTGGACTTGGAAAGGAGCAGGGAGGAGATGAGGGAGGGAGGAAGGGTGTGATTGAGAGGGAATGAGGGAGGGGGCTATAGCAGAGATACAAAGCAAATAACCTGTGATTAATATAAAAAAATAAAAATTAATTAAAAAAAAGAAATTATGTCTTAGTATAGTATTTTAGTGTATCCAAATATTGTAATATCATTGTGTGTAATTTGGAGGAAAAAAAAACTAGTTTTTAAAGCAGAAAATATATAATATATTTATAACAAATATTTATTTTCCATTTTTGTTTCCTATAGTTGATGAGGGCCCCAGTCCTCCAGAGCAGTTTACTGCTGTCAAATTATCTGATTCCAGGTAAGCTTTAGTTGAACTGTATTTTAAAGCCTTAAAATTTAATTTCACTTAACCATGTGTGGTAATGGCTGCCTTTAATACCAGACATAAGGGACAAGAGTCAGGAGGATCAGGGTTTTACTATGTAGCTGTGGCTGGCCTGTAACTTACTCTGTAGGCCAAGATGGCCCCTAACTCACAGAGATCCAACTGTCTTTGCCTCTTCAGTGCTAGGACTAAAGGCACATGCCACCATAACCAGGGTATACTTTTTCAGAAGTACATGGTTGACATAATTTTTAGGTAGGTGCATAGTTTAGAGAATTAGGTTGGTGATTTTAGTTCCCAGCACCTCTCTCCCTCAATAAAATCGCTCTTACTTTGTGGTGAGAAGGTAAGCTTTTATAGCTTTTTCTTGAAAGTAGGTTGAAAAACTAAAATTTTAACATCTGTGCTCTTATCACCAAGCCTGGTAGGAGTTGGCCTGAGTTACTAAAAAAGACCCTGTTTTACAATCATAAGTTGATAATTTTCAATCCAGTGGCTTCCTGTTCTAGGAATCTCTTCTAAAGATAAATTAACAGTTTTATATATATATAAAACAGAGAAATCAGTAAGATTTTTTATAATAACATAAAAGATGACTTATATATCTACGATAGGACAATAAAGATGACTATATAAGATACTGTATAATATATATAAGATACTATGTAATGATTAGATCAGAAAGCAAAATGTAAGGTTATAAGTAGAGAATATAATATCCACTCTAAACATGTCTGGTCTGGATTTATTACTATATATGCATATACATACACACAAATATGTAAGTACATACATTATTTTTTTTTTTATTCTATAGTTAAATTCTTACTGTCAAGTTTTTTGTTTTGGTGTTATTGATGTTTGTTTTTCAAAACAGGGGGTTTCTCTGTGTAGACTTGGCTATCCTGGACTCACTTTGTAGACCAGGCTGACCTCAAACTCACAGAGATCCACCTGCTTTTGCCTCTCTGAGTGCTGCTTACTCTCAGTTTTTAACATTTACCTTTTTCATTAAACCAAAGAATTGCCTTGAAATCTGGCTATGGAAAATATCTTGGTATAAACTCAGACGGGCTTGTTGTTGGGCGTTCGGATGCAATTGGGCCAAGAGAACAGTGGGAACCAGTTTTTCAAGACGTAAGTACTGTTACTTATAAAGGTGCTCTGCCAGTTTAACAGAAATCATTGTCAGCAAAAGCACATTCTCTAAAGTTAGTAATATGACAATAAAGGTAGATTTCAATAGTGTTATACGTTAAATTGGAAAAAATTCAGAATGCTCTTAAAACCCTATAAAGATATCAATACAATGCAACAAAAAGGAGGACCTTTCCCAGTCTGGTTTCTGTCCACCGTTGAGGCCGTGTCGTCTTATTTTTCATGAAAAGATAAGGACACTTGCATTTACTTGTTGGGTTTTTTTTTTAAAAAAAAAGCAAATCTCAGGGTGTTTCAGTAGCATCTTTTTCACATAAATTGGTTCAGAACCTTTAGAGACTGATAAGAGGACATAGAGAATGCTAATTTAGCTGTGTTACTGACAATTTGTGCCTAAAATAGTAAATAATGGTATTTCTCATTAAATATCTTTTTAGAACTGTAAGTTTCAGTGTATGAAAGAAAACAGTATAAACAAATTTAATTAAAGATACACCAATTTTAGAAAATACTCCACTGTAATGTATCAAGAACTAGCTGCTCTTACAGAGGGCCTGTTCAATTCTCAGCAACCATGGTGGCTCACGACATCTGTAATGGGATCTGATGTGTAAATGAAGACAGAGTGTCCATCTACATAAGATACACGAATAAACAAATCTTTAAAAAAAAAGAAAAAGCCGGAAGAGAAGTTGAAGTAGCAGCTGTCCAGCAACAGTGGTGTGTCCAGTTCAGCACAGCATGCATCAGGGCTAGAGAGATGGCTCATTGACAAGAACACTGCAGCATCAGCATGGGACCTGTCAGATTGCAGCAGCGGCAGAACAGCCGGATGAGGCTGCACAGGCCTATAATGCCGGCGCTGTGGGCCTGCTGACCTCCAGTCTAACTCCAGGTTCACTGAGCCATGCGCAAAGGAATAAGATGGAGAGTAACAGAGGAAGACAGCCTTCAGATGTGTAGGAATATACACATACATGCATACACCTCACACTCTTACACTACTACATTTAAGCACACAGACCAAAAATAATAAAAATAATTAGTAATAATAATATAGTGCCTTGGTGTATTACTTGGCAATAAATTAGCTATTCTCCCAAGAAGAGGTAATTACTTTCATTCCCCTATGATAAAATCTTGAGTCAGTGACTTTCAAACAGTTAGTTTTTTAAGAAACACGGCTTGACATCTCATGAGCAAGAACTATACTTAACAGTACTTACTTACTTACTGTTTTGGGTTGTTTCTTTTATTCAAAGTAGATTTTTTCCATACAGTATATCTGATTACAGTTCTCCTCCCTCTACTCCTCCCAGTTCCTCTCTTCCTTCCCACCCATTAGGATCCCCACCCTTTCTGTGTCCTTAGAAAACAGACAGGCACCTGGAGAACAATAATGAAATATAATATAATGAAACAAAAACAAATGTCAGAATAGAACAAAACAAACACAAGAATCAACCAAAGAAAAAGCACGAGAAACACATAACAGAGATACGCATGTTTGCACATAGAGGAATCTCATTAAAACACAAAATCTGAAGCCATAATATATAAGCATAGGATCTGTAAGGTTAGTTAAAAAAAAAAAAAAAAGAATGCCTTGTTTTGACTCAGTATTATGAAACAAAGAACTTCCAAAAATGCCACTGACTACCTTTTATGTAGGCTGCCTATTGCTGGACATGGAACCTACTCTTAACAGTGGAACAGTGGTTCACCAGTGAGACACTTAACTTTTAGAGAAAATTAAGTTTTTATTTGTAAGTAGTTACCAGTTAAAGATGGCTTTTAGGTTAGGGATGGAGGTATGTGTCCACTCTACCTTTCAGCTCCAGGAACCCGTGCAGTGCAGACCTTTGCAGGCCCTGTGCATGCTACCAGTCTCTGTGAGTTCTTATGTGCATCAGCCATGCTTGATTTGTTGGTGTCCTCTATCCCCTCTCACTCTTAACATGCTTTCCACCACCTCTTCTATGGGATTCACTGAGCCCTGGGGGAGGGAGTTAATGGAGGCATTCCATTTAATACTTGGTGTTCCAAAGTGTCTGGCAGTGGGCCTGTGTACTTTTTCCCATCTGCTGCAGGAGGAAGTTTCTCTGATAATGGCCAAACAACGGCACTGTGATTACAGTAGATTGTCATTGGGTGTCATTATATTGCTATATTCCTTTAGCGGAACAATAGTGTTTAGTTTTCCGCTAGGTCCCTGGCCTATCTACTTCCAGGTTCTTGGACACCTTAGCAGTTCCATCTCATGGAGTAGGCCTTAAATAAACCAGACATTGGTTGCTTACTGCTCTCACCAGCCTTCTACACCGCTGCACTGGTGCGTCTTGCCAGCAGGTCACCATTGTAGAGAAAAGGGTTTGTAGCTGCGTTGGTGTTTACTTTTCTCCTTTGATAGTGAGCAGACATCCTTCCAGTACCATGAACACTGATCCACAGGAGTAAAGGCTCTAGGTAGGCACCAGCTCAAACTCTCCATGTTAAATGAATTATGCAGTTGTTGTCTTCAGTAATAAGGTATTTTGTACAGGCCAAACAATAACCTTGGCACTAGCCTGAGTTGTTTAGGGAACCCAATTAGACCCTTTTTTAATTATTTTTTTTATTTTGTATATTAATTACAGTTTATTCACTTTGTATCCCAGCTGTAGGCCCCTCCTTCCTCCCCTCCCAATCTCACCTTTCCTCCCTCATCTCCTCCTATGCCCCTCTCCAAGTCTGCAGATAGGGGAGATCCTCCTCCCCTTCCATCTGACCCTAGCTTACCAGTCTCATCAGAACTGGCTGCATTGTCCTCCTTTGTGGCCTGGTAAAGCTGCTCCCTCATCAAAGAGCCAGCTACTGAGTTCATGTCAGAGACAGTCCCTGTTCCCCTTACTAGGGAACCCACTTGGATACTGAGCTGCCATGGGCTACATCTGAGCAAGGGTTCTAGGTTATATCCATGAATGTCCTTAGTTGGATTATCAGTCTCAAAAAAGACCCCTGTGCCCTTGTTTGCTATTCTTGTGGAGCTCCTGTCCTCTGCAGGTCTTACTATCTCCCCCTTCTTTCCTAAGATTCCCTACACTCTGCCCAAAGTTTATGAGTCTCAGTATCTGCTTTGATACAATGCTAGGTAGAGTCTTTCCTTTGGACCCTTTGGCCAACAACTTAGTTAGATGTAACCATTCCCAGTCCTGGAAGCTCTTTGGTGATGGAAGATATCCAATTAGGACTCTGACTCCTCTATTCTTTGGTGGATTTTATCTAGATCACCTTTGTGTGTGTGTGTGTGTGTGTGTGTGTGTGTGTGTGTGTGTGTGTGT